TCGCTGCAGAGTCTTTTAGCAAGGGCGTTGCATCGATACCGGCAGACACCTTTCGCTGGTGGCAAGGCCCGGCCGTAGATCAAATGGAATACGAGCTGCGCTCAAGGCTGAATAACGCGGTCGTACCCCCACCATCACAGGTCGGTCAACACAGCGACACGTTTACCAACGATCCTGTGTACACAGGGGTACCACTATGGGTGCAAAATTTGGGAAAAGGTGAACCATGGACACAAGCTAGAGTAGAGTCCATGGACGGCGCACGCAAGGTTACCGCTGACGGCTACGAGGGAGACACCCTGCACAGACACTTCTATCAAGTCAAACACCGGCATCCCGGAAGTTGTCTGAAAAGCGCTCCCAGTCCGCCACGTCCCCCGCCGCAGGAGGAGGCCCAAGGCCTGTAATGACCCACTCAAACCAGGACAGCCCCAGTATGGTTTTCCCCTTAGAAGCGAGAAGACTTGCAGATCGGGCAAGCCTCCACAAGCATGTGGCACTTGCAGTCTGATGTTTCCGCCTTCCCTCGCCCTTTTCATCTCCCCTCCGTCTCGTCTTCCTTTCTCTTGCCTTCTATAGTTTTTGGCAAAACGAGCTCTCAGGCTGCCGCCATTTTGCGACTCGAGCGACAATTATCAGTCGAAAATTTCTTCCACTCGCATGAGCTGTGGAAAGCGGACAGCCCATTGTGCATTCGGAGATCATCGGCTTGTCTTGAGAAATTTTACTTTATTCGCCTTTTAGGAGGCTTACACTTTTGTGTTATCTTTCACTGTGGGAACTAGGGAATACCAGGGCTCGTAGCCGGCTCGGTTTTCGCAGGAACCGAACGAAAAAAACGAACGTCAAGCAGCCCACGACGCGCGCCTATCGACGTTCGTCGAGGATTATTTCCTTAGAGATAATCTTCAGAAGGCCTTCCCAGCTATGTTCCCGCTCTCCGCGAAAAATAGCTCATAAGGTCGTGTCCGGAGTACGGGCACGGAATAGACACGTAGCAGCTTGAGCGAGTTGACTGCTTACGTTAACAGACTACAGCGCATTACTGCAAAGGTGCACTCACAGCATACACTCACTCCTTACACACGAGAAGGAAAGGAAAAATGGAACGATCCAAGCGATTTACAGCACGGTTTGTTTGATTTTTTTCTTTCTTTTTGGTGTGTAAGGAGAGAGTGTACGGTGCGAGTGTACTTTTGCAGTAGTGCGCAGTAGTGTGTGGCAATGGACACGTTCGGTCATTTTCTTATGTGGTGTGCAAGAAAACAGCTCCGTTCAAAACGCGCCCCAAAACAAGCGGGATCCAGACTGATCGTTGTGAAGCGACTGTCATCGACACTGCACATTAGATATGCCGTATTGTAGAGACCTCTCTCAAATCCTGTTCAAATAACGCGGCACCTTGGGCTACGTACGATATATGTTCTTCTGTTGATGAGACTCGTTGAATATTTTGTTCTGAGCGAAGAATACCCATACATTTTGGCTATCCTGTCTGGTCAAATATGTTCGAGAGTTAAGACTTTTGTAGAACGGCGCGACTGAGTGTATGGTGCCATCAAAAAATCAACATAAAATAAAACTTTCCAGTTGCATTTGTTCTGCCGCGCGCGGACTCGCGATAAATGGCTTTCGTTTGTTTCCTTTTGTTTCCAAGATAAATAGTACAATGCATCTTTAAAACCCTAAGAAAATCTAATCGCCGTAAAGCACACAAAAACAAAAAAAAAAACCGCGGTAATTTAGCAGTTTTCAGCGTCCGGAATCGGCACCTACGCTGGCTGGCACAGTCCACTGAGGAGAAAACCCACAGCCCAGCGCGGTCGAACTACACTGACGTACTCTCTCAAAGCTAGGGACGCGTGCTGTAAATCGCTTCGTTCGAGACTGCCTCCGGAAATGTTATATAAAGCGCAAGCTGCGCAGGAATAAACTTTGTTGGTTACCCGTCGCTATTGTCATGTTTCTTGCAGCATCGTAACAGTCGCCAATGGCGACTATTTCTGGCGCATGTTTGAAGCGTCTATAACCGAAAGGGACAATGCTAATTTTTGCTAGTGCACATACTGCCTCGAGGTTCTGGATGAGGCACACAATAACTTTGTGTACTATCCCCGCCTTCATTCGCCAAAAAAAGACTATAAAAATCGAATACAACTTGCCCGGACTTTCTTGATTTTAGAAATAATTATTTGCATCTCCTAACTTTGTTGTTAAGGTATCAAAAAAATGAAAGACCTTTACAATCCTCTGTAATGCCGAATTAGAGCGCAGCTCATGAGGACGAGTAGGGCAAGGTACGGATAGGAGGGAAAGGGTACGGAGGACAATTTCCCCGTAAGTTCCCCGCTAAATTTACGTGGAAAATTTCCCCACTTGGTTTTGCAAGTTAATTTCCGCTAATTTTAGCGGGAAAATTACCCGCTAAACGTAGGCGGAAGATTTGCCCACTAAATTTAGCGGACAACATTGCCTGTTATGTTATATTTGGCAAAAAAATTTCCCCGTTAAATTTAGCGAAAAAAAATGACCCGCCAAATATAGGCGCCATGTGACATCAAAAGAGTGACGTCACACGTGGCGTCAATATGAGAAACGTCCCATAGAAAACGCGCGGTTACGCCGACGGACGGTTAACTATTAAAACCAACAGTTACGTAAAATAGTTTGTTGTTGGGCGAGTTGGTGAGCCTTTGGATCCATGGTTTTGCGCAAAAAAGACGGACACAAGAGAGACACACAAGAGACAAGAGAGATTCATGGTTTTTCGCTCGTGTTTGTTTCTCTCTCTTGTGTTCGTCTTTTTTGCGCAAAACCACGTATCCAATCACGTAAATATGTAAGGAAATTAATTTACAGTTACTCTGTCAACTGTGCAATTATTTCGTTACAAAATTACCGATAAATGTAAGGAATTAAAATTCATTCCGTTATTTCTAACGGAATTTGTACTAGTCTGATTCTGGCACACGTACCAGCTACTGCTAAGTAAATGTAGATAAAGAATAATATTTAGTTAATTATAATCCGAGTTGTATGCGCTTTGTTTGTCTTTTGTGTCTCCTTTTTGTCCCTTTTCTGGTGTACGTTATTTCCATAAAGCATGAATCATCAACTCGCCCAAGCCTCTATTTTAACATGTTTGGTGTACCGTAGCTTTTCCTTGTTTGTTGTTTTGTATTTTCTTATTATATTTAAATACGTATACAAACGTATTTTGTCAAGAAGCCCTGACTAGGGCCAAAGAAGATCAAGTTTGGGTCTAACTTGGCTTCTTAGAGTATTCTGGAGCCCTAAAATCTCTCAACAGAATTCAAATGTGGGTGCTTTATATTAACGACAAAAACCATTAGATCTTTTGAGTTAATGCAAAATGATGTGTGTTCCAATGCATTTTGAGGCCTTCTGTCTCTTGCGCGCAGCAGTCCCTCGTATATCGACACCCATACATATCCTTCGTACTCGAGGCCAGGCCACCTCGCTTCGATCCTTATCCTTATCTGTAGGGCGAGGGTCAGAGCGTATTTCCGAACTATTGTGGGAATTTATATGTTCCTTATCCGCGAAGGACTTCTAGATTGTCGGCAATATTTGCTTACTGATACGCATTATTCACGTAAACTCTTAGAGCCATTGAGCTTACATTATAAGCTTCTCTTGAATACTGCGCATGCGACAGAAAAAAAAAATACTAGAGCTCATGAAGATAGAATGACGATAAGAATCCCTCCTTCTTGTCCAGCTCACTCGCACTTTTGCATTAACTGCGGTATTATCCAGATAAAATAATTCAAGCTGTACTTTCAAATTTACTGCATCACTTTTATTTAAGCCACACTAGTTCCCTATACAATTACTTAGGTTAAAACTAATGCAAAACCTGGAGAAAAAAATAAAAAAATAAAAAGATTAATAATTTTTTATTACGCGCCACGGTTTATTTATCGGGAGTGCGGGGATTGTCGCACTACAAGGAAACTTAACGGCAGAAATGCCGCATTCAAAAACCGTATTTTTACATATATTTGCGAAAGCGACTCGATTACCCAGTCTTCTGGTTTCCAGGCTTTTCAATTACGCATTTTAAGTATGTGGATTCAAGCAATGCGAATGATACACTCTTCTTTGCTTTAAGGAATCAAATACTGTTCGTCAATCCGTTGAGGCAAAGTTTACGAACTGTAATGTTGTGTACGTCTACATATAGTATTGTCACGGATAAAGATGGTTGACAAACAGAACAGAAAATAAACTTATAATGAGGCCAGCTTGTGCCTTCAAATTAAAGAGGAAAATAACAGACATATTGCGCCAGCAGTGGAAAGGCGACTGATACAAAGCACTCCCTAACCGCTACTTTGACATTCGAAGGATGCTCGGGAATATTCGAACCGCGAGAAAATTATGACGGCCTAAAACAAACCGAAACTTCTCAAAAGACCCAAGCATGATAGTAGAGCAAACCTTCTCGAGCAGGGTTTGATCCCCATTTTTCCTCTAGCAGCCACGTGCTTTGCCAACTCCACCATGCACGCGGCAGTACTCACTACTCCATGATAGCTTGAAATGAACCCTCCTATCGACTAAATCGTTAGAGAAATGCAGGTAGATTTAATTATTTAAAAAAAAAGAAACATATATGACCAATGCCGATGTCGTGAAATAAATATGTGTGTGCATGCACTCAAACAAAAAAGCTAGACTAACATCTTCAAAAAGTGAAAAGATGGTTAGCCCGCAAGCTTATTTTAGATTGGTTAGCTAGATCCACTTCTCCCCCAATAACATTTTTATTCCGTTTATTAGAAATAAACGTTCAACTAAATGCCAGTTCAACTAGCAGGCGGCGATCAATGGACCCTTCTTCCCCAGGTTTATCTGCTCGCTATCTCATTTTACATCAGCTGCCTCCAGCTGTTGCCGTTATTGCGACATTTTTTGAAATCGGCAGATGGCCAAGCTTGTATCTTATCGCAGGCTATGGGCGTCACTCCACTTAACAACAGACTCTACCGTGCTCCGTTTCTGCGTCGAAAGCAGTTTGCTCACCACTGTCTAAACGGCTTTCATAGAACGAGCAGACGTGTTGCGAGCGCGGCAAAAGCAACAAGTATTGTCATGAACCTCCCGAGCGAATACAGGAAGCTGGTTTGCGTTAGGGTAGCTCCCAACTTCCGAGAAGCGGTGTCTGTCGTCACGGAACGGACACCTAAACTGGAGCGCGACGAGGTTTTCCTGAAGACCAAGTACGCCGGTATCAACGCTTCGGACGTGAACGTCACTTCGGCAAGGTACAGTGAAGCGACACCGCCGTTTAACGTCGGCATCGAGTCCGTGGCCGAAGTGGTTGCCGTCGGCGATGACGTCAAGCATCTCCCCGTCGGCAGTGCGGTGGCTACAATCAACGTGCCTGGTTTTGGCGCTTTCTCCGAGTATCAACGTATCCTGGCGTCGAAGGCGTTTCCGATTCCGAAAGCAGTGCCTGAAGCTATACCGCTGCTAATAAGTGGACTGACGGCTGCAATCGGCTTGGACGAGCAAGGTAGAATAAAAGAGGGCGAAACCGTCTTAATAACCGCAGCCGCCGGCGGGCTGGGCCACCTCGCCGTGCAGTGGGCCAAGGCTGCGAAATGCCACGTCATCGGCACATGTTCCTCGCCGGAGAAGGAGGTGTACCTCAAGAGCATCGGTTGCGACAAAGTCATAAACTACAAGACACATGACCTAGGCGCGGAACTAGAAAAGAGCTACCCAAACGGTGTGGACGTCGTCTGGGAGACCATCGGTGGCAAGACGTTCGAAGTCCTCCTTAATCATCTGAACATCAGGGGAAGACTTGTGGTAGTGGGCGCCATTACAGGGTACCAGGGCACCAACAAGGCTCTTCCTGATGTGAAACTCGAGGACTTGCCTTCTAAGCTGCTAATGCGTTCTGCCAGTGTCAGCGGATTTTTCCTCCCGCAATACTATCATCTATTTCCAGAATATGTGGCAAAGCTTCAGAAAATGCTGCAGGATGGCACGATCTCTCCTAAGGTGGATTTCGGGCTCAACGCAGTTGGAGGCGACCTGAAGGGGCTTGACGGCTGCGTTCGGGGCGTCGAGTACCTCTACACCGGAAAGAGCGTCGGCAAGGTAGTTGTGAAGTTGGACGAGTACGCATAGACTTTAAAACGTATTATATCAAAAAGACTGTCACTTCACAAGTTCTAGTAATGCAACGCTGGACCCAGGCATGTTTTTGTGTTGGTAAAGATTATATTGTGTGAAATAAAGAGAAATGTGGGAATTAGTCATAAAATATTATCTGGAGGAATTTGTAGAGTATTTATTTATGCGCTGCATGGGGGGGGGGGGGGGGGGGGGGAAGGGGCTGAAATTCATGTATGTGGTCTGCTTTTTTGTCATTCAGTGTCTAATGGCTATCAGGTTAGTGATCGACATCTCTCAAAAAAGGACGGATTGATGGTAATCCTAAAAGTAGAGACCACAACATATGGTAATTTTTTTTTGTGATTTCGTCAAATTTGTGCATCATTCATGTACTAGCAATAAGGCGCTTTTGAAACTCGTTCGCTTAGAATTCTGCAAGCACCACTTATGCACACACCCTCACACGCACACGCACACGCACACGCACACGCACACGCACGCGCACGCGCACACGCGCGCGCGCGCGCGCGGAGAGGCACGGGCACGTAAACATGAACCATAACAAATATTCACCATACAGTGAGGCAGAAAAAATTATAATTAGATTGTTTCTTAAGCTGGTGCCGGCAAGGCTGAACAAACTTAGACGGGATTGTGGCTGTTGTACCAGTTCAGAGTGCGGATGTTTCTACTGTGCTATTATTTATTTATATTAAATACCCTCAGGGCCTCGAGGAGAATTGAAGAGGAGAATAGGTAACAGGTACATGAAATAAAAAAATAGAAAATTCTAGAAATGCAAGCTACGAGCTTTTTCTCTGATGCTGATATTGTGACAACTTCTTTTAAATACAGTTTTAAAGGTGACGCCACCAGAGAATGTGACCGCATATGCTGAAAGGTCGTGTATGTGAAAGCATGATTGGGGGCATGAATGAACTTCGAAAAATGGTAGTTGTCTACCATCTTGTGTTGGTGATTGAGGAGCGATGATATGTAGACGGGAGATATTTGTAGATTTTAAACGCAATGAAGGATTATGATGCATCGTGAGAAACAAACACAAACGAGAAAGTTCTCTGTGTGAAGCATGGTTATGCAGGTTATGCAGGTTAAAACAAATTGTTCTAAATGTTACGACGGTAGTGCATTTACAGTTAGTAAGAACAAAGCGGACCGATTTGTTCTGAATTGCTTGAACTGCTGAAGTTAATATGACAGTGCCGCGGTCTCAAATTAAAGAGGCGTGTTTTCGTTTAGAGCGGACGAGTGTCCTAAAAAGCGGGACCAAAAATTACTTTTTTATCCCAATATATGATAGGATTTACTTTTTACGTGTTAAATATGAATTTCGTAGAAAAATTAGGTAAAAAAAGAACGTCCAATAATTTCTAGGATTATGGCCTCAAAAAACATTTCTTGACTTACATTTATAGGTGCTAATCTCCATGTTTTTATAAGTCACACCGTTCAAGCTCGAGGTTAAGATCATATTGAAGAGAGAATACACTGGAATCATTTGACACTTCAGGATATAATTATTGGCAAATAAACTAATTAAGAACGAAACACAGGAACGTAAGCTGCTTATATTCAGGGTGATACGTTTTAATGTAAGGATAATTTTAAAAAAGTGCTAACTGCGAGCTCAATGCAGTATTTGCTATTGTTTCTCGAGTTCTGTGGACATTAACTGAGTGAATAATCGCCATCATCGGTTTGTTACTTAATTAACTTTGTTGAGTGACTTTGAAATTATTGTTTTTAGGGATTCTTTTTCTGCAATGGGAAATTCGACGGCAATTATTTTTTAGACCTGACCAATTATTAAAATCTGCGAAGGTGTATTAGTGTTTGATATATTAATTTATATATTTTTAGGTTTTATTGTATGAATTATAAAAAATTGTGCACGAACAGCGCGCCCAGAGTTCTAACCGCAATGACGCTTGAAATAGCGCTGTAGTCACTCTTCTCAGCGTGATTGTGGGCAAAGCAGACTTCCGCGCTTCGGAAATTTTACAAATGTGAAATTTAATTAATCAATACCTAAAAAACTTACACAATTTTTTTAATTGTTTTAAGTAGTGTTCCCTCTCTTTTAATTAACTTCATTTTTAGAGTTCCAACATGACCCGTGAGACCCATAATTAATAAGTAAATTAACAGATATATGTTGACTTACACACTTGCCATGCCAACTATTATCTTAGCGAATATCCATCGAACTACTGAAACACCTAGCGAAATTCGCGGGAAATATGCGACGGGGTAATTAAACATGGTGGGTATTTTTCGACCTGGGGCTAATGATGCGGGGCTTTTGTGAAAGGGATTCTGCACGCGGCACAATTGTGCTACACACGGAAAAAATTCAATGAGTTTTCTTTTGCTGACCTCCTCAGCATTCATTAGCTTCGAACAGCACTGTAGATTGCTCAATACCCGCGCTTTATTCACATTTGAGATTTTCATTATGAAGAATATTTTATTCTAATAAAAGTCTATATTGCAAGCTTGGCACAAACCTTATTCCACCAACAGTAATATATATATATATATATATATATACAGTATATATATATATATATATATATATATATATATATATATATATATATATATATATTCATAATGACGTAGAATTCGTTATATGTACAGCTGCAGCGGAAAAATATTAGCACAAGTGACCGACGATCGCAGCGGCAAAATCGCGATACGCGGCGCTATTGTTTCCGAGCGCGCCGATAGCGACCGTGCCAGTCGCGTTCCATGTCTCAACGGGGGGTGGCCGGCAGAATGCAGCCCATCCTAAAGCCGCCATTTGGAAATCTCTGTTGTTCCTCAATTTTCTGCCGGCCAACCCCGCGTTGAGACATGGAACATGAGTGGAACTCTCGCTATCGGCGCGCTTGGGAACAATAGCACCGTGTGTCGTGATTTAGCCCATCCGGTCATTGGTAACTTGTGCCAATCTTTTCCCGCCGCAGCTGTACATTTAACGCAGAAATGCCAAGTAGTTTAAGACTTCTAGAACAAGAATTATGAAATGGGAGCTACTCAAAAATTATGATACACGCGTGCCATTTACACCTACCTGATGCAGTCATGCCCCGTTAATATGGACACCCCTCATTGTGGAAGAAACTTTCGGCTAACGATCTTTCGCCACGCAATTTTTCCCCGTTAAAATGTGAACCCGCAGATCGGACAATAGATTATGATGATGATGATGATGCTGCGGCTGCTCCCTTTATAACGGGCGGGCTCGAATAATCGTGCCCAAGCCTGGGGATGAATTTAGCGCCCCCTGGTTTCTGTATGATGCCACCAATCCTCCAGTCGTCTTTTCGTCGGCTCGATGGTCTTCCAAAAGGCTTCAGTAGTATTGGCTCTCTCGCTTATTGACGAGAAGCCGAACCATATGCGAAATGTAGAGCGCCATCTGATAGCGCGCCGAGAACTACGTCCGCCATCTTGGTAGCGGCGAGAAAACGATACCGGCGACCCGACCTGCAGGGATCCCATGTAAACAAGCGACCACGCTTTGTGCGAGAGATGCGAGGCCAACGCGTTGCTGCGTTTCGCTGCGCATGCAGCGATAAACCTTCGATTTGTGCGTGCCGTGAACGCGAACGTGAACAGGGTTCACAGCTTTTTTATTTTTTTTATTTGTTACTTGAGACGCAGTTTTTGAGAAAAACCTTCGGTGACAACGCGAAGAAACATGCGGGTGTTACCGCGCGGCGTGAAGCCATTTCCAACTATTGAACTAGGCTATAATCGTTTCACGAAGTTGAACCAAATTGGTTTCTTAGCTTTTCTCCTTTTTTCTTCTCTTTTTGGAACGTTGTAGTGACGGCCTGCGTTTTTCTTGATGCGCAAGCAGCTCAATGCATGCGTTGAACACGGTTAAAATCGCTCACAAAGAGACGAGGACAAACGAGGAAGGAACACAGAACACAGACAGGCGCGCACTCACAACTCTAGTATATTAAGTGAAGAAGAGAAAGATGAAGCACTATTTTTTACAGGGGACAACGTCACCAGGGGGAAACAGATCATCCGCAGTCAAATGATCGCAAGAAGGCAACTTCTTTTTCGCTCAAAGCTACCGACGGCTGGCTAACGCAGCGATCGGTCAGGCTCAAGATGATGATGTTTCCCCCTGGTGACGTTGTCCCCTGTAAAAAATAGTGCGTAATATTTCTCTTCTCCACTTAATATACTAGAGATGTGAGTGCGCGCCTGTCTGTGTTCTGTGTTCCTTCCTCATTTGTCCTCGTCTCTTTGTGCGCGATTTTAACCATGTTCAACGTTTACCAACTCGCCCAACTTACTACTCTTCTACAATGCATGCGGACGAGACCAAGGCTGTTAAACGAATCAAAAAGATGACAGTTTTAATACACTACGCCACCAACCATAACTGAAGATGCGTATGATTCACAGTGCACGACAAAAGTTGAAAGCACCACAGAGCCCTCATATTAATGTCATGTACTTTAAACAAATTAATTACTTTGGAAAGCAAGAAAACGATCTCGTTTCTTTGCAGAGATTTCTATACACTTGATCTGGCATCGGTAAATGATGTTTGTAAAACACCTTTAAGTCTAAACAGGAGAATTTGTAGATATATAATATTCTTCAATACGTAAAGCGCGGTCATGTACAGGGTGCGGCCGTAAAGGCTTTCACATTTGGCACGCCTAGCAAAAATCGAATTTCAAACCTACATACTTGAAATCAAGCACACGAACGTCGTTTTTTTTTTTTTTTTCGTTTTTTTTTTCAGACGTTAACTTGGGAGTAGCGAATTATTAGAAAGATAACAAAAATAGCAGACGTGCATTTCCTATGGCCTATAACCGCCCGTTCGCCGTCTGCTATCTGGTTCGCGGCGCCGCCCCCAGGCGGTGCACAGAACGCAAATACGCGGGAAACGCCGCACGAAAGGCTGGTGTCGGGCGAGATAATAGCGATAAAAACGATTTTATGGAAATATGTGAACGATTATTCCCTTTTACTTGAAATTTAAAAACTGGCGGACGCCCTCGTTTAATAAAAATATGTTCTAAAGCAGACGAACGTGTGTCTTTCTTTGTCGTCTGCTTATCTGTTGGCGGGTCCGTTCCCGGTGAAAGCTCAAC